TTCGGCTGAATGCGGACGCCGCGCCGGGAGACTGACGGCCTCACGTCCAGGCACCGGGCGGGCGCGCTGCCTCCGCCGTCCTCCCTGCGCTTTGGGGGCCGAGGCGGGAGGATCGCGGCAGCCAGGAGTTCGAGGCCAGCCTGGGCCACATAGCCAGACCCTGGGGTGGGGGCGCGCCCGCCTGTATTCCCAGCTACTTGGAAGGCTGAGGCGGGAGGATCGCGTAAGCCCAGAGGTTCGAGACTAGCCTGGGCAACATACCGAGAATTCAGTCCTGTGCCCGGAAAAATGTAACGGGAGTCAGGGGTGGTGGGACGTGGTGGCAGTCGCAGTGGTTAAGAAGGTCGGACAGGCCTGTCCATGGAGGGGATGAGGCAGCCATGGAGAAGAGGCTCCCAGGCCTGCTATTCAGTCCCCGAAAGCATCCCAAGGGTCGCACACAGTTGTCCCATTTCACAGTTGGGAACGGGGGTGCAGAGAGATCAGGCGTCCTGCCCAAGGTCACACAGCTGGGCAGTGACAGAGCTGGGGTCGGCTCTCATGCTTCTCGGCTTCCGAGGCCCATGCCGGGACCACTCATCGCCTCAGTTTCTCCTGCCGCAAACTGGGAATTCAAATGCCTGGACCTCCGACCTGGGGACAGCGGGAAGGCCCTGTATGCTTGCGGAGGGGGACAGGCATTTTGTGAACAGAAAGGGCTGCCTGTATGCACAGGTTGGGTCGGCCACGGGGGTTAATGATTTGTCAGCCTCAGAGAGGGTGGGCCACCTACCTGGGATGCACAGCACGTGGGTGGTAGAGTCAGGAGCTGGAGTTGACGGCTCTGGCGGTTGAGGGGTCGGGGAAGGCTTCCTGGAGGAGGAGGGCTCCCCACCACTGGGCCTCGTGCTTTTCCTCCCACAGGGACAAGCTGGCGGAGCTTCACGGGAACATGTTTGTAGAAGAATGTGTCAAGTGTAAGACGTGAGTGTGACAGGGGGCGGGGCAGGGGATCGGCCAGGTGCCCCCGGGCTGAGGAAAGGTGTGGCCCACCCGGACACCAGCTCTGTCTTCTGTCCCTCTTCAGGGGGCGCCGCAGATGGGCCTTGGGCGTCGAATCTGGTGGCCCAGAAGGTGTGGAGGGGACTGGGATGTGGCCCTCCTGGGGAGGCACGTTCATTTCTTAGGGTTGCCAGCCCAAACCAGCACGAACAAACAGCTTAAAACAATAGAGGCCGGCTGGGCTTGGTGGCTCAGCCTGTCATTCCAGCACTTTGGGAGGCTGAGGCGAGTGGATTGCCTGAGCCCGCGGGTTCGAGACCAGCCCGGGCAACTTGGCGAGACCTCGTGTCTACAATCAATCAAAAATTAGCCAGGCAGCCGGGCTCGGCGGCTCAGCCTGTAATCCCACGCCTTTGGGATGCTGAGGTGAGTGGATGGCCTGAGCCCGCGGGTTCGAGACCTGCTTAGGCAGGCGAGACCTCATCTCTACAATAAATCCAAAAAAATGAGCCAGGCATGGTAGCACGCACCTGTAATTCCGGCTACTCGGAAGGCTGAGGCGGAAGGATCGCCGGAGCCCAGCAGGTTGAGGCCGCGGTGGCCGGGAGCGGCCACTGCACTCCAGTCTGGGCGACAGAGGGAGACTCCAACTCAAAAAAAAAAAAAAAAAAAAAGCCAGATAGGCAAGATGTTCTACCTTGGTGGCCGTGTGATCTCTGGCATAACCTCGCATCTCTGCTTTCGTGGCACGGAAGCCACCATAGGCAACCCGTAAACAAATGGGCGTGGCTGTGAACCAATAAAGCTTTATACAAAAAACTGGAGACAAGGGCCAGATTTGGCCCAGAGACATGGCTGGCAGCCCCCACCCTGGCGTCAGCAGTTGGGAACATTTGGCCACAACTGGCTTTGGGTGTGTGGTGACCATTTGCTATAATGTGTATGAGGACTCTGCAGGCTTTGCTGTGCTTTTTCTCAAAACCTCTGAGAAGTTTCTCTCCCCTGAGCTGCGACATTCTCTTCCAGAGCCGAAGTGGAATTATTTGAGTCGGGGAATGAATGGACAGCCTGCCTGACCCAACCCCTAGTCTGTCCATATCCAGATGTCGCCTGTCCACCCAACACTCTGGTTGTTGTTATTATTTCTGGTCTTGGATCTCACTCAGGCTGGTTTTTAGCTCCTTTGTCTGAGACATTTCCCTGCCTTTCTTGGGTTGTTTTTTTTTTTTTTTGGAGTTGGAGCCTCACTCCGTCGCCCAGGCAGGAGTGCAGTGGCACACTCACGGCCACCCCAGCAGCGACCCGCTGGGCTCTGATGATCCTTCCACCTCAGCCTTCCAAGTAGCTGGAACCACAGGCATGCGCCACCACACCCGGCTAATTTTTTTTTATGTATTTATTGTAGAGATGAGGTCTTGCCGAGTTGCCCGGGCTGGCCTCGAACCTGCGGGCTCAGGCAATCCATTCACCTCGGCCTCCCAAAGTGCAGGAATGACAGACTAAGTGACTGAGTCCGGTCATTCCGTGCCTTTCTTAGTTGTTTTTTTTGTGTTTTTTTTTTTGAGTCAGAGTTTCACTCTGTCACCCAGGCTGGAGTGCAGTGGCACACTGACAGCCACCGCAGCCTCGACCTGCTGACCTCAGGTTATCCTTCTGCCTCAGCCTCCTGAGTAGCTGACACTACAGGTGGGTGCCACCACGCCTGGCTAATTTTTTGATTTACGGTAGAGACGAGGGCTTGCCAAGTGCCCAGGCTGGTCTCGACCTCCTGAGCGCAGGCCATCCTCTCGACGGCAGGCGTGAGTCCCCGTGCCCGGCCCGTTCTCTTTTTTGGAGACTGGATCTCTCTGTCACCCAGGCTGGAGGGCGGCGGCATGATCACCCCCCACCGCAGCCTCCGACTCCTGGCCTCAAGGGATCCTCCTTCCTTGGCCTCCTAAAGCCCTGGGATTGCAGGCGTGAGCTGGCACGCCTCGATTCTTAAGTTTCCGTGCTGTGTGTATTCTACCGTATCCAGGCCAGTCGTCTTGGAGACAGTCCCTCATTCTGGAACTGTGGGATAATTTTACGGGCTTAGAATTTGGTCATGCCCCCACCCCTTCCCTAAGAGACCGTTTTTCTGGAAATATTCCAAGGGAGGACTGACCCGCCCGTCCTCCCTTCCTCCTGACACAGGCAGTATGTCCGAGACACGGTCGTGGGTAGCATGGGACTCAAGGCCACGGGTCGCCTCTGCACGGTGGCCAAGGCGCGGGGCCTGCGGGCCTGCAGGTAAGTGTGTGTGTGTCCCCGCGTGGACTTGGAGAGGCGCCCCACCCCCCCCGCTGACAATTCCCGCCTTCCTCATGGCAGGGGCGAGCTGAGAGACACCATCCTGGACTGGGAGGATGCTCTGCCCGACCGGGACCTGGCTCTCGCGGACGAGGCCAGCAGGTCTGACCCCTGATGCGCCCACAGTGGGACGGGCGGGTGGAGGGACCGGCAGAAACAGCCGGGCCAGGGGATCCACGCAGAGGCAGTCAGGGAGAGCTTCCTGGAGGAGGTGATCCCCGCCTGGCTACCCCTCATGTGCACAGCAGGAAGTCTCTTTTGCAGATGGGAAACCTGGGGCTTCAGCCTGGCGAGTCCTCTGCCCAGGGTGGCCCGGGGGGGAGGTGGCCGAGCTGGGATCCCAAGCTCCAAGCTCCTTCTGGGGCTGGGAGGTGGAGGGTGTCTAGGTGGGTGACCCGGCACCACTTGGCAGACGGGAAGGGCAGGGCTGGCGTCCAGAAGGCTGCAGGCGGGCAACCAGCCTTGAATGCCAAGGCCAGCGCAGCGCCCGGGGTGTGAGCTGGACCCCCGGGGCTGGCCGGGGCCGGGAGGGCCACCGGCCAACCCCAGCCTCCTCCCCGCCCCAGGAGCGCCGACC